ACCAATATAGGGTCCGATGGAACTGCATAATGTGCACTGCCCTAATACCACCCCTGTCACTTCTGGCTTTAAAATCTATTAAAAAGTAAATGGCTTTGGAGTCTGACTTATGGGAAAAGACCAGTTTGCCTTTAAACTTGTAATATTTTAGACACTTCCTTATTTAAAAAATAAATAGACAAAGAGTCTGAATTTAATTTCAAATCTCTTGCACTTACCTATTCCACTATCATCAAGTCTCATGTATCCTTCTGCTAGTGAACTGAAGCCAGTCAGTCCTCCCATTGCAGCATAAGGCACATCCTGCCCCACAGGCTTTCCCAAGGCTGAGCGCTCTTGTTTAGTTTCCACTACTGTTTCATGAGTATATGTTGGCTGACCACAGCCACAGGTAAAGGAACTGTGAAAACCTGAGCATTTGGAACCTAATTTGAACAAGAAATAGCATTAAGACTGAGATGATGATGAAACTGATTTAATCATGATCATCAGACACCTAATAGCATTTCCCTAACTGATAGGGCAAGATTTCTCAATTTCCTTCCATGCATAAATACATGACACATTTCCCCTTTGTAAGCTTATTGCCCACAAACTTGACTAGAAAATCATCTACCATTGGACAGCTAAGTTTTCTACAGCCTCTTTTCACCATATATGGAAAAGCCTTACACAATGGAAAGGATAAACAAGACAAAGCATGAACATGTGGCTGAATCATGGAAATCACTAGATCTATGTTCTAATCCTGCAGTTGGTCCCAAAAATAATAGATTTGGCCAAGCATGGTGTTCCCAAGATTGAACAAATTGACATCAGCAAGCTGAAGGCAGCTTTAGGAAACAATCTATGTTGTAATAAAAATCTACTGCTGTAGTATCTATCCCGGCTAAAGATGCTGCAACAGTTATTACTATTTTTCTTTTCAATCAGTCAGCTCTAATTGTTCTCTAGAGTGGGCACAGAATCAAACAGAAACTGTACCACACACTCCAATGTCTTGGCTGGACCATAACCAGCAGATAAAGCATGTACGTAAAATCAAGAATACAGCTTGGTCCAGCTGACTGCTCACATATCTGAGACTGTAGCAACCTGAGTTTATTTCCTAGGTCTGTCATATATTTATTGTGTAAGCATGTGAAAGCAACTTACCTTTCCTATGCTTCTAGGGTTTTCCTTCTACAAAACATGGACCTGCTAATCTGCTTTGTGACTCGGAGGAAAACAAGGATCCTCCAAACCAGAAAATTTCAAAATATGACTCCATACAAGTATCATGAAACTAAAATGTTCAAACCATGAAGATGAGCAATCATTCTTCACTTCATTTCGATCCATTCCAATATTTTATATACAATATTCTCTAGGCAGGAGCTTTGACTTCATCCACATGTGCAAAGTACCTATCACTGAGGGACACTACAACATTTTCTTCCAAAGGGGTGATTAGCCATGTTAGTCTGAAGTCAGGTAGAAGGTAGGCCAGGGTGGCACCTTAGGCCCACGATTAACATGTTAATCATGACAAACTGTAATATGCTACACATTAAATCAATTTATCATGCAATAAAACCAGCAATCAACCACCAGGATGTTCCACATTAAATGTGGAAAATCTATGTGGCTGGTTTGCTTCACACTTAAAGTGAACATGTGACATGTTAATTTTAAAGACACCTATTTAAATTTCCCAACACATGGACAGCCTGGCAACAGGGAGTCAGAGAACTCTAATACCCGGCTTCTCCCATACCAGCATGTTTTTAAAAGGTCCAAGAAACAGGGAGCCCAGGATTGGGAAGCATCCCACACCCTAGCATGCAGGATGCAAGAATGCCTTTTATACATGCTAGGACACAGGGAGTTCAGGATCGCCAATTATACATGGAACATCTTTATGGCTTCTTGATTTCAAGCTCCCTGCATGTTTAAAAGGCAAATGGGCATCTAGCTGCATGCAACCCTTTTAAAAGCTCAGGGGAGGAAGGATATCGGGATCGGGGAGCTCTCTACACACTGCTAGGTTGAAAGGTCATGCATCAGCCCAATATCAAGGGGTTGCTCTTTGGTGCCAGGATCCTGAAGACCCAGAGAAATCCAGACCCAGATCTGAGGAATGTTAACCCAGATTCCAAAAACGATGCATCCTGCCATGCCAGATGCTGAATGTCTGGAATGTCAGGACAAAATTATTCAGATCCCATTGCATGACTAAATTAACACCTGCAAGGGCCTAAGAGCCTAAATGGTTCAGAAAGGTTTGAGCTTTTAGTCTCTTAGGTGCAACCCTGCTCTATTTTCTGCCTGACTTTGCCAAAGGAGCACTGTGGGTCACTAAAGTAGACAGGCAAGCTACCAAACTTTTGGCATGTGTGAAATCTTCACACAGCAAAACTCAATGCCAATATTTTGGTCCACTTGAGCCTATATAACTCCCACTCCCTATCAATGCAAGAGGGAAATTATAGGGATAATAAAATAACAATCTGCTGTCTCAGTCTGAGATCAACAGTACACTTGGAGACCCAATTCATTCCATAAAATGAAACCATCTGACAGTTCTTAAAATATATGTCAATATTATATGTGTATAATATGGTACAATATATAATACTGATACTATATTTAATCTATGTTCACGGAATACACAAGGAGATCTTTAATGAAAAGAACTTCCCAAAACAACGTGATGAAGACCTGGACCTAGACCTCCCAAGAACAGTGGTTCTCAAATGTTCGTCTAAGACTCTTCAGATTTCCTCGCGCTCTGCAAAACCGAATGCAGCTAAGAGCAGAAGACAGGCTATGAAATAATTTCAGCCCATGAATCCTACAAATATATATTACATACATTTTGCACACTCTTTTGAGAAAAAGTATAAGGCCAGGCCATGCTATTTATTCTATATTAGTCTATTAGATATTATTTTGGCTTCTGCTAGAAACAATGGTTTACAATTTGTATCCTGCATAGATTATTGCATATACTTCAGGCAAATAATTTAATCATCTAGAAATCCAACTACAGATCTCCAGCACTACATAACCTGAAGAGGTTTAAAAGAAAAGAATCTGTAAATAATTTCATTTCTTCTGCATCTACTTGTGATATTAATGCAATGCAATAAACTCCAGCTCAGTTTGCACCAAAGCTTATTGCTCCCAGGGATAGCATTTACATGTGTGCCCAAGAATGCAACACAATTGAGCCAGGGCAGCACAACCCAAACTGGTAGGGGGCCCAGGAGGTCAGCTTGCCGGCCCGGAGCTGCTAAAACCCAGCTTAACATGCTGCAGAGGGACTGCCTGGAGCATGAGGGTGCTACAGTGCAGGGCTAGCCAGCAGACAGTCCCCACTCCATAGCACCCTCATGCTCCAGCCTACACCAGGATTAGCCTTTAATATATTAGAGCAGAGCTATCCAACTTCTGAGTGACTGGGAGCTTCAAGCCCCTACCACACACCGCACAGGCTGCACACCACACTAGATGGTGTTTGCCTGCTGAGCTGGCCCACAGGGGTCTCCACGTCCCCCACATACACAGGGCCCTAGAGGCAGGGGTAGGAAGTGGAAGCTGGAGAAGGGAGGGAAGCCTAGACGCTCTCTGGTAGCAGCAGCAGCAGGAAGGTGATAGCGGGTCAGGGGGAGTGGCACATAAACTGGGGGTGGGGGGTGCTGCAAGTTAACCCCTCAGAGCTTGAGTTCAGCCACAGGCTACCAGATGGATAGTCTTGTGTTACAGTGTTATCAGTAGTATTACTTGGGAACAGACTGTTATTTCCTAGTAAATTGAGTGTACCTGTATTAAAAGCTATTCTTAAGCTTAGTGACAAAGAATATTCCATGTGTATGTATAGGAAACTAACTTACAT